GCGGCTGGGGCAGACTGGCTACCCAGGAGAGTGGCTCTGGCTCTTTTTTCCCCCAGACAGGAGCCATTGCTGTGCCTCACACTCTTCAGCATCACTGCCAGCCATCTCACTCCTCAGAGAGTTGGAATGGGGAAGCAGGTAGCAGGGACACAGGACTGTTTTCCTGCCCCTATAGTTTGCTGCTGTAGGCAATCATCAGCTTCAGCTGCACACCTTTAGAGGATCCTGCATTGGGAAGAGTCTGAACAGAGACTGGCTCACACTGTGGCAGCAGGTGAACCGCCAAGGGCCAGCATATTGGAAAATTGGATTTGAAGACGGGTGAAATTTTATTGTGTCTTGATTCAGGCTGTCAGTACTGGGATTTTTTACATTTTTATAGATATATAGCTGTATGTGTATACACACAGACACATATATACATACATATATATCTATGTAAAATATTAACAAATCCAAAGGGGAAAGTTACTGGGACTCTCAGTTCACAGACCAAAGCAAACTGAGGTATCCCTGGATTGGGATAGATGTAATTTTCCAAAGTTGTAGTTTATTTTGTTGTTCAGGGTGTGGCCTTTCTTTAGTGAACAGAAAAAAGCCAAGAGAGATACTTTCTGAGCTTGCTAGCAACATCTGTCTGGTGAGGGGATGTAAACTTAATTTACAGGGTATTTACAAATCTTTTCTGTTCAGCTTTGGTGTGTGTGTCTAGTCCCATAATTTTTGATGAGAACTATGTTATATTCCATCTACACTTGCAATGGACCCCAGAAATCATTAGATGGAATTTTTTGGCTGGGTTTCAATGTACATTTCAGTAAGTGTTTTTTATAGTAAGACTGTGATAAAAGATCTGCTCTTATAGAATATGCATGACTCTTCAAATGCTGTGCTCAGATTAATTTTTTTTATTCCCAGCAATTCCAATAGCAACTTATTACTGGAGTTTTTTCATTAAGTTGTTGGAAACAACTATACTGCCGCAAATGATAAATACACTATATTATTCTGAAAATTCTGCACTGTAAAGCATGAACGTAATTTTCTTACTTATAAGATACTTTTCATGCTGTGCACAAATCTCTTATTATGTGTCTTGTGTTGTGGTTGTCCTTATTTTCATTTAAATTTATTGCAGTGCTTTGTCTGAAGAAAATATTTTGATTGGTTAGTAAACATGCCACAGGGGGTAAGTAATTTACATGAACAGCAATTCTGTTGAAATTGCTATTCAGCAATTTAAACTACCTATTTCATCCTTACTGTAGTTAAAGGAGGGGAAAGATCTCCCCAAAACATGGCCTAGGAGGAGAAAACAAAACAAAATTACCCACAAAAAAAAAAGTCTGCCAGTTACAGAAACATGAAATAGGTGGCTTGTTTCTAATAAAGGAATAATTTTTTGGGAAAATAGTAGGAGCATGACTTGTTAGTCTCTGAACACCCCAGCGATTTGTTTCTATTGCAATAAATTCCTGTAGCCTTCTATGTTGTTCCTGTTCACCTGTAAAACTAGATGGGACTGAAGTTCTTTACTAGTAGCTTGAGACAGCTAAAGTTAATTTCTCAACTACTCCAATTAGCACTAAAATATGCTTACAAAATAGCAGCTTCATTGACAAAATGAAGGAAATTAAAGCCAGAGATCAATCAAGTATGAAGAAGGCAGTTTTCTCCAGAACATGACTTTTCTTCATAAACTGTTTGTGCTTGATCAAGTTATAGTAAACCTTTTAGTTAATTAATTAATAACTGAGACATTATGAATTCTGTAAAAGCATCTAATATATTATTAGATCACCTGAGGCTTTTAAGAAAAGTTTAAGATGTGAACAGCCTCCCAGTTCTGATACAGTACTTTTGAAAGTTGTGCATTCCTGGACCTCCTTTTCCCAGTTTTTGAGGACTGTGTCAGGCTGCAAGTGAAAGCACTTCTGTTTGGGGAACCACTGATGCATACATAACTATGAACACTTGAAATATGTAAAAGATTTTGCTCTGGGAGATGGTGTGACAGAAGATGCCCTTTGTCCTTGGACATCGCAGAGCATCTTTCACTCTATACATGCTTGCAGAGTGTTCATTGACAAGCTGCTTTCTGCTGCCTCACTCCTTCATTTCCATTTTCATGTGTTTCAGTGACATAGTGAGACCCAAGCCTTAGTGGGCCCAAAACTAGGTAGAAAAAGAAATTTAGAAGCCTACACAAGGTATGTCTAACAACATGTCTCAGTTAGTACTCAGATCTTCATGAATAAAATTTTCTTAGTGCTGAGAGATCTGATTCTGCCATATCCACGTGATTATTTCTACCAACTTGCTACACTGAAGAACTACAATGGCAATGAGAGATGGGAGAAAATCCACCCCAAAACATGAGGAAAGAGAAGCCTTCCCATCTCTGTTTTAAAGGCTTCAGCAAGGATGTGGAAGATTGAAGATGATTTGTCTCTTGCATCTGGGAAAATGTTAGCCCAGACTCAGGAAATGGTCCTGCCTTGCAGATGACACTCATTTGGGCTGAGGGAGTTTTCAGTTGAAACTGCTTTCTTGCACACAAAAAAATGAGACTTACCTAAAAACATTAAGCAACAGTTTAGATTTGATTACATGCAAGGCAGCTTTAATGGACATATTGCTGCTTCTGGTCCCCTGATGGCAGAAGGTGCATTGGAGTTGCACCAGTAGGCTCTCCCATTGGCATTTTTTGTTTCTGTTGACTAACTTTGACATGTTGCTGGCCTCTGAAGCTAAAGCACCTCCTTATCCTGTGATGTTAGAGCTCAGTGTACAGGTACTCAGGTCTGTAAGGACAGTGCCTCAAAATTTGGCAATGATATCTAGGTAACAGGTAGTTCAGCTGTGCAAGGACTGATAACTACCAAGTAACATATATATCAAGGTGTATTCTCTGCCCAAGGGAATATAATCCATAAAATTTCTTTGTAAATAAGTGTTTTCAACCTACCTAAACACTTGAACTTCATGGTTAATATTATATGGCTAATAACTCAGGCCATTTCCTCATGTGAAAACTGCAGAAAGTTTGTACCAGGACATGTGTTAAGCATGTCCACCACGTGGTAGTTGAAAAGGAAAAGCTTTTTCTTTTTTCAGATAGTCTTTCCTAAAACATAGAAACACTCTTAAGTCCTGTATATCTAAAGAACTATTAGAAAATCTTGAAAGCAGCTGTAACACATCTGAAGATTAAATGTACTTGATCCAGGGACAAAATAATTAATTCAATGCTGAGACACAGATCTACAGCATCCCTGTTTTGTATTTCATGATTCCTGTGGATGATTTAGAGTGTGAGATTGACTCACTACCCAGAACATACAACAGAAGCTCATTATCTTTTCACGCATTTTTCAAATACTTTTTGTTCCAATAAAAGCAATGAATTAAAAATCAAAGCATAAGTTGCTGTAATGTTACTTCTCATAGTTACATGCAGACAGTTCCTGCTTTTTCCTTTATTCCTTATTTAAGGTCTTCTGATTCTGTGACAATTCATTTATGTAAATATAGTTTTAAAAATGTACTCCTAGTTCATTCCAGTTTCTAAAATGGGTGACTTTGGAATGCTATCTCTTCACTGCAGTTCCATAATAGAAATACTTCATGTCATGCACACAAAGAACAGCCCAAGCAGCAAGCTACATCAGAATTTTCCTGGCTTCAGCCTTAGCAGGAAGTGTTTGGGAATTTCCTGGTTTGAAATGTTTTTGATGGAGTTTTGAAATTATTGTGACATTCTAATTTAACACTTTTTAAATTAAATCACCCTCTTTGGTGTTTATTTAAACAGCTATAATAATTAACAGTAAAAAAAAAAATAAAATTGCAGACATCTAAATAAAACATTTTGATTGATTTTGGTTTACTTTTGGCTTTAGGCCATGTTTGGATTTTTGACATTTTACTCATAGTTAGAAAAAAATGGAAATTTTTGTGGCAAAAAACCTCCTTTCATCTCATCAGTCTAGTGTTAATATTGTGTTAAATTTTTTATATTGGAAGTTATGGAGGGAGGGAAAAAATACAGTGTGACTATATTTATTAGATATCAGAATTAATCATTATGAATGACATGAAAAACTTTTGTCAATTGAGAAAGTCAGTGTCATAAATATATGGGTATATTTGTATATATGCTCAAGCCTTAAAATAGTTTAAATGCAACAGCTTCTCTTCCATTTGGGCATTTTCTCATATTTTAAAAATCTTCCTGTTATCTCTTTTGTTCCCTTTGTGTCTCCTTATTCATGGAAATGGATTTTGGTATTTGTGACATTGTAGCTATACTTGTGTTCCTGAAGTTTGTAGAAGCTCAGTGGCTGATGAATATACAGCATAATAACAATCATGATAATTTATTACTCTGTCCAAAGCCTAATCCCATGCAGTTGTCAATGTCAGATGCCTGTGAGGTTGCTCTTCTTTCCCCCCTACCAAGTTAGGAGAAAATGAAGGGTTGGCAAAAAATGGCTAGAACACTTGGATTTAAAAATTATTTTCAATGTTTATAAATGTTTCTAAAATTCAGTCTTTTACTGTTGGTATGATTTTTGTGAAGATATGTTGGTGTTAAAGCAGAGAATTCTCTATCCCAGGAACTATACTATTATTTTGAAATTTTGACTAGATTTTGCATGTGGTTTTATTGGAGTATTACTATAAGCTAGTGTAGGTATCAGAGTGGTAGAAAGCCTATCAACCACTTCTCTTTTTAGCTGTTTACTAATATATTTGGAAGCATCTATTTTTGCAAACATCCTATTCCAATGAGTAACCAATTTACTGACTTCTGGGTAGTTAAACTTCAATTATGGAAGCACAATTTATTTTATTTTTTTTTGGTTTTTTTTTTCTGCGCAGGGAGGGTTTCAAAGCCCAGGTTAGAAGCAGCCAACATCAAACCTCATAAAAATGGCAGCTTGGGAAAAGTGTGATGTAGTTATCACAAAGAACTAATGCCACTGATTATTTTACAGGCACAAAACTTGTTATAGGCCACAGCTGTGGATAGGGATGGAGAGAGAAGGAAGCATGCCAAGACTGCAAAAAAGAAATTAATTTTTGTCAAGCAAGCTGAAGATGTTCAAGGCAGCCTCCCAGGTCACTGGTGCATGGGCTATTTGCCCACCTGAGAAGCAGAAATTTACCTAGCAGGGAAATGCTGAAAATACTACCGTGTTGTTAACTGTAGTCATTTAAAATGTCTTGTACACAGTGGTCATTTGAAAGGCAAGGTATTTCAAGGTGGTTTACAATCAGAGTAATTTAAGCTGGGGGGACCTCTGGAGAGCTAAGTCCAGCCCTCCACTGCAACTAGGAGGAAGTACAGCAGGTTGCCCAGAGCCTCATCCAACCCAGTTTTAAGTCTCTTCAAAGATAAGCATTCCACAGCTGGACCAGCCCCTTGTTTCAGTGCTTGACTATTTAATTTTGAAAAGTTATTTCCTAATACCTCATTGGAATTTCCTGTATTGTAGCCTATGTTGGTGTCACTCATCCTGTCCCTCTGTGCTTCCGAAAAAACTCCACATGTTGACACCCCACCCCCTATTTAACTGCCTTATTTTGCTGTATTATCATATTTATGCTGTGTGATGGAAACATAGAACCAGCAACCTTGTTTCCAAGATAAGCTGCACATTCCAACTCTTACCATTTTAAGGGAACCAGAAGAAAAATTAAGAATAAAAATTCAACATCTAAATAGAAGAATTTTGCTAAGTGTCTTATTAAATACCAGTAGGAACAGAGCAATAATATTCTACCTAGTTTTTTCATGTTTTAAAAAATACATATCTTAAAGTAGCTAAAATATATAACCGCTGTTCAGACAGGGTCAAAATGTTATTACTGACAGTAGTCTAGTGAACACTTTTCCTCTTTTTTTATGGTTTCCAGTCTAACTCTGAGTTGATACTAGTTAATTCGATTTAATAAGACATGTCTTAGTTCAAACATAACTTTGTCTTTAGATGCTCCTTGATACATGTCATAGCAGAAAGAAGTGCCTGTTTTGATCATGGTCTTAGGAAGTTCTTTGCCTGCCCCACTTCACTGCTGAGCAGCTGCTGATGTATAGGATACCTTTTGTGCCAGTCAGATACATTGTGGGGTGGCAAGTTCATGTCTGGTCAAGAATACATACAGCTGATCACAATAAAAATTGATTATTCTACATCTGATGAAATGCCAAACAACACTGGTGCCAGTGTTGTGCTTTGATGAGCCAAGGACAAAATGCCTGACAAGTTTTCCTGTATATAATTTAGCTTTATTTTGTTGCCTAGGGTGTGTTTCAGGTCACCTAAATCTAGCTGTCTGGGCAGGCACCAGCATTGAGCAACTCCCCGCTGTGATTTTTTTTCTGTCTTCAAAGAAGCTCATACCTTGTCCCTTTTATTTTTTTTCAAGCTGGCCAAAGCCTGCTAGAAAAACCATGCCCCTAAGCAGTGTCTATCCCTTGTGTGTTATCCCAACTTCATTTTCATAATAGCATAGTGCCTTTCATACTTTCTGCTTCTCATTTGTAGATTTCAAAGCACAGTAAAGACTAGTAGCAATATACCAGTAACTGGGTGGGAAACTGAAGCGTCATAATCTGAAAAGGGAAGCAGATAACAAGAAAGCCATAATTAGAATCTGTGTTTTGTATTTCCCAGTGTACTGCCCCAACCTCCAGTACAAACTGGAACTTGAGTCTTCTTTGGATTCTCTTTTTTTTCCTGCAGAAATACTAGAACTTGGAATTCAGTTATGATGTGATAATTTCTACTTTCTTTTAAAATTTTTGTTACACTCCCACATTAAAGATACAGACTCAAAACTCCAAACGTGTGAAGAAAATAAAGGCTTTGCATACATTCTCTAGAAAAAACATCTGTTTTTAAGCAATCTCCTGAGCTTTGAAGAGAACTTTAGTCATGGCTCTCCCTTCCTCAAATGCCTAAGATTTCAGTTTCCCCCTCAACCTTTACTGTCTCTTATGTGTGTGTATCCAGCCAGTACAGTGTGCTCTGTTTATGCAGGGATGGTAAATAGTGCAGCATAGCAGGTCTTTGCACAGAGAGCTGTGGTGGTGCTCCAATCTGTCTCATGCAGAGATGATTCAGTTTTGAAAAGCTGGGTGGTCTTCGAGGGAAAGGAAACAATAGCCTGATATAAGTAGCTGTATTTTAAGAGACCACCTCCTTGCCTTTTTATGGGTTGGGGGGCAGGGAGAAGAAGGAAAAGTGACATAATCTGATCCATCATCAAAAGCCAAGCAAGTCCGTAAAGGGCCCCTTTTCAAGATCTGTCACTTTTTTTTTTTTTTTTTCCTGTTTGAAAAAAAAATGAGAATCCTGTTGGAATTCTTTATTGGATTTTGGGGTTTTGCATGGGTTTTTTTGCATAACAGTGATACTGAGATACACTGGAGGGAGTATCTCCTGGATCCGTGGCAACTTACAGTAATGCTCTGCATCTGTTGGTGTGGAATTTTTAACATTACAGAGCACTGCAGATGCTTATGCCTGAACTGAAGTCAATGAGACCTTTTGTGAGTTTAGAGGTCATTGTGCAATAGTTCTACATAGCAGGGCATTATACTGTAGAAAATACCTCTTAATGTTGTGGTTTGGTCCAATTAGAAAGAATATAGCAGTAAGACTGATTAGGATTAAAGATTCATGTGGATCAAAATTATATCTCTGGATGATTATTTTAGACTAAAAGAAATATAACTTTGCTAGGGGTTTTCAGTCACCTGCAAGAAGGTAGACACTGTCTTTTTGCCTAATGTACTATGTGATATTGTTTCATGTAGTGTTAAATATGGCTGGCTTCCTAATCTTAACAAATATAAGTACAATATATATGAAAAATGAATCATTCTGGCAGTCTGGAATATTGTTAAAGGGTATAGAAAGGAGTTCAGAGAGGTACTGAGCTCACACACACTGTGTGTGTTCTTCTGGAAAAAACATCTAGTGAAGAATACATAACTGTTTCAATGTGTGTGGGACAATAAAATAGATGTACTCTTGTTACCACCTCAGTGTATGTACATGCTTCATTGCAGTAAAGTGAATTTACTGCTCATAATGCAGCAAAAATCACCATTAAGTGATATTTAAGAGAGTTTTAAGATTCAATTTAAGCCTCTAAACAATTAGTAAGTTTTTTCCTTAGTGGCTTCTAAATAAAAGGGAACTTGTTTTGTTTTCTGTTGAGGAACAAATTGTTTCATACATAACAAGCTGCTTCAGGACTTTTCCTTTCTAAATCTTTAAAGGCTGATTTGGTCTTTACAGAAGAAAATTCAGTTGTGACTCCCACTTGTGCTGCACTCCTGCCAGCATACCTAGGGTATGATTAAGATGGTAGTGCATGTTACTGAACAGTTTGAAGCAAACAAAGAATTTTTAGTTCTATTCATTATTTTGCATATGCATGTATGCAAGTGTTATATGGGTAAAAAGTAATAAGCAAGATTTCTGGCTGAAGGTGTTTGTAAGCATTCTTTATTAGATACTTTTTTTTTTAATCTAAAATTATGGTTATATTTCTGTGTATATTTGGAGTCATTTTAGGTACTGTTATTTATTTCCCTTCAGTAAATGTTGGCTGCCTGCCTTCATTTCTTTGTCTTTGCCAGTGATAAATTTCTGGACACATACTATGCTATGCTTTGGAATCGAGCTGTTGTAGCTTTAACATTGTTTTATCAGAGACTTGAAGGGAGTACATCTACTGCTATTCTGACTGAGCTGTTGCCTTTTTAATTGGCAATGTATTGTATTCTTTGCCACATTACATTTATGGAATGAATTTAAAACCACATTTTTTCCCTACTATTTTTTTTAGTATGGTAGTCCCTGACAAATACCTAAAACCATAACTATTACTGTTTATCGCTCACATTTTTATTTATTTCTTGCATTTTTTCTGTTTTCCTTACACAAGGTTTGCTTGTGCTTTTTATGTAAGATCTTTAGATTCGATATTTTGCTTGGAATACAATAACCAAATTTTATGTTATCATATTAAATGAAGAGATGCACTTACAGCCCTTGTTATACACTCAGTGCATGGCTCAGATTTGTTTTCTAAGACAGTGCAAGCAACCTTGAGAAAAAGAGAATGGCTTTGTGGGGATAGAGAAGTCCTTTTTACAGCTGACTGTCACTTACACGAATTGCTGGTAGAAAAACAAGAATAGAAACTGGATCTACAAAAGAAAGTCCTCCACCTAAGTAATTGGATAAAGGAGCACATATTTTCAGATGAGTTTGTGCTCTGCTTCACTCAGTGTAATACATCAGAGGATTTATGTTTCAACAACGCAAATACATACACTTTATACTCTGCTAGAGCACAAGGAACAGAATTCAAACTGAGTCAGTGTCCCTCTTTCTGAGACTGTGAAACTGCATCCTATTTGCTTGTGACCTGAATTGACTGCAAACTTAGAAAAAATTCCAATTTAGGCACTTAACAAGGCCCAGAGCAGTTTATTTGCAGGGCTGCCCTGCACAAGGCTGTATTTTAATCCTAAGTAGTTAAGCTTGTGTGATTGAAAACATGTGACATAACACTACTTGCTACATCACCCAGCTCCTTGCTTTTGCAGTGCTTGTCCTGAGTAACTCATAAGCACTTCAGTAAAGTTACTGCCACTGGCCTTTGTTTGGAAGACTGGGAAACTGAGGCACAAGGTGACATGTCTGGGTCATTGGTCTCTGGAGCATCAGCTCAGTGCACAGTGCAAAACACCATCAATTTGTGTTTGAGCCATTTGTTGCCAAGGATAGCAAGATTGAGTCAAGTGCTCTTTGGATATGTAAGAGCACCGTGTGAATGGTCTCTTTGCTCCTGTTATGTTATGAAAGATTTTTTCTCTTTAAAGCTGTTAAATACACACCCATGTTCTGGAATCAGTAATTGTCTTGAACTATATTTGTTTTTATATCGTACCTAATCCATCTGTTTCTTCCTTATTTGTTAGCTTAAATCTTTTTTCCAGTTTGGCAAAGGTTGGTAGACTTCCACAGTAGTCTTTATGCCCAAACATTCTTCATCTAAAATCAGTTTTCAACAGCAAGGATATAAAAGCCTAATTTTAAAAGATGGCGTAGAAGTCTCTGTCTGGTGTGATTTGAAACTGTAGATAGCAGTGGCAGCTCAGCCAAGAGAAAGGTGTTTGTCATATGGCACTTCTCAGGGAGGGCAATCCAGGGATGTAATACTACACACCCTGCTACAGCCTTATGAACACATATTAAATAATGGTAGTATTTAAACAATATTTTCAGAGATATTTCAAATGGGCATTTAGTTTTATATAATATTGAGGTAAGGTGGCATGCAATTCTACTGAAACCAAATTGAAACAGTAGGTATGATTTACATGGGAATGGATTTTATTTCCCTATGCTGCACAAGAGAGAATGTGTTGGCAGTGGAGGGGGCACTGGGAAATCATGTGCTCTTGACTGAGATAAAAAGAAGCAAACAAGCCCAAAACTAGTCTGATTGCTGCTCATCATAACAACACCCTTCAAAAAATCTTTAGGTAATTCCAAAATTAGTAAAAAAACCCACCTCTCATCATTTGTCTGTCAGCACAACTTGTGATTCAGGCCTACATACTTACCTTTTCTTTTTGCAACAATTTTTGTACCCTCTCTATCTGTGCATTCCTATGAACTTTAGAGAACTGCTGACTTAAAACAACCTGCAGAGCTATTATTGTAAACTTTCATTATGTGGCTCATCTTTTAATGAGGATAAAATAGGTAGTAAATTTCAGATTTAAAATAATTTAATTTTTGAGATACTTAATTGGGGAGAAAAAAACCCAACTGTATAATCCTTTAATCCATGTATTGGTGATAGAGCATATTTATGCTTAGGTGTTTGCTGTGGGTTTTCTGTTTTGTTTGAGGGATTTTTGGTTTTGTTGTTGTTTTGGGGGTTCTGGTTGTTTGGGTTTTTTTATATGCAGCTTAATGAGAATGACAGATTATCCTCAGAAATCATGGGAACACATCAAGCATAGAAATTTTGTCCCAAAGATAACCTTCCTAAGAAAATGCATGAAAATACCTGACACAGGGACTTATGATAAAAAATTACTTATTCACAGCTATGACATTGTCCCTCCTATCCTAACGTCTGTGTTCTCAGTGAAGCAAACAAGATGGGATTTTGTTTGGTTGTGGCAATACATTGCTGCTGTTCCTACTAATCCTTCATGCAGCTTGTTAGAGCATTTATTCTGTTACTGTCCTGAAGCATGAACTTAGTGTTAAGGCTGTGGTATGCCTCCTGCCTACCTGCACATTTCCAGTTAGAAT